TAAAATGCTTTTTGTAGATTTTTTTTCTTCTGTTGATTTGAGTTGCCTTTAAAGTTCCACCAGTTCTACAAAGGGGAAAAAAAACTGCTTTCTGGTTCCAGAGAGAGGACAGATGTGACCGGTCAGCCTGCTTCCGGAAAAAGGGGGCGCCCGCGACCGGCCAAGCCTGGTTCCGGACAGGGGGCGCCCGCGACCGGCCAAGCCTGGTTCCGGACAGGGGGCGCCCGCGACCGGCCAAGCCTGGTTCCGGACAGGGGGCGCCCGCGACCGGCCAAGCCTGGTTCCGGAGAGAGGCCGGCCGCGACCGGCCGCCCTGGTTCCGGAGAGAGGCCGGCCGCGACCGGCCGCCCTGGTTCCGGAGAGAGGCCGGCCGCGACCGGCCGCCCTGGTTCCGGAGAGAGGCCGGCCGCGACCGGCCGCCCTGGTTCCGGAGAGAGGCCGGCCGCCCTGGTTCCGGAGAGAGGCCGGCCGCGACCGGCCGCCCTGGTTTCCGAGAGAGGCCGGCCGCGACCGGTCGCCCTGGTTCCGGAGAGAGGCCGGCCGCGACCGGCCGCCCTGGTTCCGGAGAGAGGCCGGCCGCGACCGGTCGCCCTGGTTCCGGAGAGAGGCCGGCCGCGACCGGTCGCCCTGGTTCCGGAGAGAGGCCGGCCGCGACCGGTCGCCCTGGTTCCGGAGAGAGGCCGGCCGCGACCGGTCGCCCTGGTTCCGGAGAGAGGGCCGCCGTGACCGGCCGCCCTGGTTCTGGAGAGAGGGCAGCAGCGATTGGTCATCATAAATTGATGCTCTGCACCATAGAAACATTTCAGAAGCCTCCTACTAGCAATTTCCAGTCCAGGGTCAGACACTTGTGACTGCTCTATGTGCAGCAGGGTGACCGGCATTGGCCAGCGCCTGATCACATCAGCATGAATGGAACCGTAGGCGGTATTATTCTAATTGGGCAAAAACTTCCTGCCGGTCTGTGCTAATCTCCGCCCACTATTAATGAGTTCTCCAGCCTTCTCCAGACCCACACGTGGTGGCAGTGACAGAACATTACCAAGACACCACCCACAGACCCTCCCACAATTGTCACTACCATCCCAATGCATGATGAGATGTGTAGTTCTATGTGACACTTGATAAGGAAGAGGCGTGCAATTCCACAGGGAACCCTCCCACCCAGGCCGGACATACCAGAAAATAAAGTGCAGACTGGTGACCCCACAGTAGGAAGTAGGACATGCAGGACTCACATTGCAATGAAGTCTTACACGGGCTACACAGTTAAATGCCATGTAATCAACACATTGCCATCAATGTGGCATCAAGACTGCAGGAGACTGGCATAGCGCCATTTGGTCTTGAATTTGCTATGTGGGCGCAGGACATGTGTCACGCCCCCAACCACCAGGGTAAGTGCCTGGGCCCCAACATTGCCCTCCCCCATGAAAATTCCAGGGCGCTGGCACCTCAGCTTATTTCAAGTCCAGCACACCTGCCAGATTATGGGATTACCTTTTGATGATGCACACGGTGCAGCCAGCAGTTCGTAACTGGAGAAGCCCACTTCGGAAGACATGAGGTAGGAGGTGAACTGGTCCGGCTTCAGGGAGATCCTACTGTAATTCTTATAGATGGTTTCCTGACAAGACAAAAAAAAAACACATTCAGCCTCCAATCCCAGAGGAAGAGACGCGTCGGACAGAGCTAGAGTGTGACGTCATCACGCACGATGATGCTTTGTTTTGTATACCGCTTACTTATTTATTTTAAATGTAAGTGCAATCGCCATTTATCAAAAAAGTTTATAATACTGCACTACGAGGCTTCTCCTTTTTTGTGCTCAACATACACTATATTGCCAAAAGTACTGGGCCCCCCTACAAATGATTGGATTCAGGTGTTCCAATCCCCTCCCAATCATGTGATTCAGGTGTTCCAATCTCCTCCCAATCATGTGATTCAGGTGTTCCAATCTCCTCCCAATCATGTGATTCAGGTGTTCCAATCTCCTCCCAATCATGTGATTCAGGTGTTCCAATCCCCTCCATATCATGTGATTCAGGTGTTCCAATCTCCTCCATGGACACAGGTGTATAAAATCAAGCCCCTAGGCATGCAGACTGCTTCTACAAACATTGGTGAAAGAATGGGTCGCTCTCAGGAGCTCAGTGACTCCAAGCGTGGTCCCGTGATAGGTTACATAGTTAGTGTGGCTGAAAAAAGACAAAAGTCCATCCAGTTCAACCATAAAAAAAAATAAGTTACAATCCTACACCCACAGTTGATCCAGAGGAAGGTAAAAATACCCAGCAAAGTACGATCCAATTTGCTCCTGCAGGGAAAAATTCCATCCTGATCCCCCGAGAGGCAATCGGATATTCCCTGGATCAACTTTCCCTATAAATGTTATATCCAGTTATATTCTGTGTATCCAAGAAAGAATCCAGGACTTTCCTACAGCAATCCACTGAGCTGGCCACAACCAACTCTGGAGGGAGTCTATTCCACATTCTCACAGCTCTCACTGTGAAGAAACCTTTCCGTGTTTGGAGATTACATTTCTTTTCCTCCAGACGTAAAGAGTGCCCCCTTGTCCTCTGTGATGACCTCAGGGGGAATAACTACACCGAGTTCACTATATGAACCACTGATGTATTATACATGGAGATCATATCCCCCCCTTATGTATTATACATGGAGATCATATCCCCCCCTTATGTATTATACATGGAGATCATATCCCCCTTATGTATTAACATGGTGATCATATCCCCCCTTATGTATCATACATGGAGATCATATCCCCCTTATGTATTATACATGGAGATCATATCCCCCCCTTATGTATTATACATGGAGATCATATCCCCCCTTATGTATTATACATGGAGATCATATCCCCCTTATGTATTATACATGGTGATCATATCCCCCCTTATGTATTATACATGGAGATCATATCCCCCCTTATGTATTATACATGGAGATCATATCCCCCCCTTATGTATTATACATGGAGATCATATCCCCCCCTTATGTATTATACATGGAGATCATATCCCCCTTATGTATTATACATGGAGATCATATCCCCCCCTTATGTATTATACATGGAGATCATATCCCCCCCTTATGTATTATACATGGAGATCATATCCCCCCTCATGTATTATACATGGAGATCATATCCCCCCTATGTATTATACATGGAGATCACATCCCCCCCTTATGTATTATACATGGAGATCATATCCCCCCCTTATGTATTATACATGGAGATCATATCCCCCCCTTATGTATTATACATGGAGATCACATCCCCCCTTATGTATTATACATGGAGATCATATCCCCCCTTATGTATTATACATGGAGATCATATCCCCCCTTATGTATTATACATGGACATCATATCCCCCCCTTATGTATTATACATGGAGATCATATCCCCCCTTATGTATTATACATGGAGATCATATCCCTCCTTATGTATTATACATGGAGATCATATCCCCCCTTATGTATTATACATGGAGATCATATCCCCCCCATTATGTATTATACATGGAGATCATATCCCCCTTATGTATTATACATGGAGATCATATCCCCCCCTTATGTATTATACATGGAGATCATATCCCCCTTTATGTATTATACATGGAGATCATATCCCCCCCTTATGTATTATACATGGAGATCATATCCCCCCTTATGTATTATACATGGAGATCATATCCCCCCTTATGTATTATACATGGAGATCATATCCCCCCTTATGTATTATACATGGAGATCATATCCCCCCCTTATGTATTATACATGGAGATCATATCCCCCTTATGTATTATACATGGAGATCATATCCCCCCCTTATGTATTATACATGGTGATCATACCCCCCCTTATGTATTATACATGGAGATCATATCCCCCTTATGTATTATACATGGAGATCATATCCCCCTTATGTATTATACATGGAGATCTCTCTCTCTGGAGTCTATACCTCTCTTTGCCATGAGGTGCCATGTTGACCCTCCAGTGACCAGTGAGAGCGATAACACCAAATGTAACCCACCTGCTCCCCATTCACACCTGAGACCTTGTAACACTAACGAGTCACATGACACCGGGGAGGGAAAATTGCTGATTGGCACACCCCCCAATCTGGACCTTGTCACTTAGGGGTGGAGTCACTTTTGTTTCCAGCGGTTTAGACATTAATGGCGGTGTGTTGAGTTATTTTGAGGGGACAGCAAATTTCCATGTTATACAAGCTGTACACTGACTACGTCACATTGTAGCAAAGTGTCATTCCTTCAGTGTTGTCACATGAAAAGAGAGAATCAAATATTGACACAAATGTGAGGGGGGGGGGGGGGGGGGGGACTCACTTCGGGGAGATACTGTATATGTGCAGTGGCAAAAGGGAGGCCTTTAATGCCCACATGCGCAGCCGTGCCGAGAGCGTGCCCACTATGCACTCCCAGTACAAACACCGAGCTGTCAAAGATGGCGCTTGGTCCAGTCTAAAGATCAGGAGACCGGGCTTCCAATCATGTGACCACTCAGAGAAGACCAATGATGGCAGATCCTTCCCGCCCCCAGGCATTTAAAGGACAGGCAGGAAGGGTTAATCTGTTAGGGTTCAATGTCAAGCAGCATCTGCCAAAACACGTCATATTCTGGGATGTACATAAACAGACATAAAAACGTAACACTATCACAGCATCGCCCCCTGTATACAATTTTAGGCACTGCAGTCAGTACAAATTGTGAAACCTGAGAGGGTTCAAAGGTAACTAAATCAATCAGGGGCCCCCATTTAAGGCCCTGGGGTTAGGGGAGGCCCATTTATTGCGAATCAGGAAACCAAATGCACATTTAACATACTGGGATATGGACCCAGAGAACTGACCTGTACTTCCTATGTGGGGTCAGGATGAAATTGTGGTGCCCCGTGTGAGGCTATAGATGCCTAGGCAGGAGTCCAGGCTTCCATAAGACTTCATTCAAACAGATCCATCCCCACCCCCCGCTCTACTCACTGTCAGCTTCTTCCTCTTGCCGTACGAGGACCAGGGTTGAGGTTCCAGGATGAGGATCCCCCCCGGGGACAGGTGTCTGTAGATTCTCCGAAACATGCGTTTCAGTCCCTCGTCTCCCCAGTTCAGATGGATCCACTTGGTGATGCTGAGGCACAAGATGACGTCGTATTCTGGCTGCTGCACCTCCACCAGCTCGTCCCGGTCCACCACATAATTACCCTGCGGGGTGGAGAGAGAAAGAGGGGCGTTATATACAGAGACAAGTACTTCCAAATGTCCCAGAAGTCCCATTGATGTGATCCGGGGAGGACTTCACTTCTAGAGGAGCGCAGAGACCTCCTTACCATAGCTCTAGGCTCTACCACCATCCATCCTGCAGTCCCCATGCTACAGAAAGGGGTTTCTCACTCCTCCTGCTGCATTCTCGTTATCCCCGTCCTCGGATTCCTTTAGGCCATCACAACTTTATGTATCCAATACTTATGAACCAACTGGGCAAACGATGGTCGAATTTCAGCCTCTCTCCCACCAGCCCTGTATACAATGAGTGGGGGGGTTGGCCAAAAGGTGGAATTATAGCCCCTGGTTCAGTGATGTCCAACCAGCTGCCCCCCCAGAAGAGGCACATGCCACCCTTGGTACCCATGTCTACATTCCTTATTGGATTTTACATCTTTAAAGAAGACATCCGGGCCAAATGTTTATTTTCCCATGCAGTGGGGCTGTGTCTGTACCACATGGGTTAACGGCTTGTTTTTGTCTAGGGGATTGCAGAGCAGAGACATACCTGCCTAATCCGCCGATCCCCTATGCACAAGACCGATCGCTGCCGCTCCTGCCCCCCCCCCCCCCCCCCCACGGTCTAGTGAATGGACTGTTCCTAACGTCATCACGCCCATAGACCGGTGACTGCCCGATCCCTGCTGCTCGTGCCCCCCCAGTGAATGGACTGTTCCTGGCGTCATCACGCCCATAGACCGGTGACTGTCCGATCCCTGCCGCTCCTGCCCCCCCCCCCCCCACTGTCTAGTGAATGGACTGTTCCTGACGTCATCACGCCCACAGACCGGTGACTGACCAATCTCTGATGCTCCTGCCCCCCCCATGGTCTAGTGAATGGACTGTTAATGACATCATCACGCCCATAGACCGGTGACTGCCCGATCCCTGCTGCTCGTGCCCCCCCAGTGAATGGACTGTTCCTGGCGTCATCACGCCCATAGACCGGTGACTGTCCGATCCCTGCCGCTCCTGCCCCCCCCCCCCACTGTCTAGTGAATGGACTGTTCCTGACGTCATCACGCCCACAGACCGGTGACTGACCAATCTCTGATGCTCCTGCCCCCCCCATGGTCTAGTGAATGGACTGTTAATGACATCATCACGCCCATAGACCAGTGACTGCCCGATCCCTGCTGCTCGTGCCCCCCCAGTGAATGGACTGTTCCTGGCGTCATCACGCCCATAGACCGGTGACTGACCGATCCCTGCTGCTCCTGCCCCCCCAGTGAATGGACTGTTTCCTGGCGTCATCACACCCATAGACCGGTGACTGACCGATCCCTGCTGCTCCTGCCCCCCCAGTGAATGGACTGTTCCTGGCGTCATCACACCCATAGACCGGTGACTGACCGATCTCTGCTGCTCCTGCCCCCCCAGTGAATGGACTGTTCCTGGCGTCATCACACCCATAGACCGGTGACTGACCGATCTCTTCTGCTCCTGCCCCCCCAGTGAATGGACTGTTCCTGGCGTCATCACGCCCATAGACCGGTGACTGACCGATCTCTGCTGCTCCTGCCCCCCCCAGTGAATGGACTGTTCCTGGCGTCATCACGCCCATAGACCGGTGACTGACCGATCCCTGCTGCTTTTGCCCTCCCCTGCAGTCTAGTGAATGAACTGTTACTGACGTCATCAAGCCCATAGACCAGTGACTGGCTGATCCCTGTCGCTCCTGCCCCTCCTCCCCCAGTCTAGTGAATGGACTGTTCCTGATGTCATCACGGCCATAGACCCGTGACTGATCCCTGCCGCTCCTGCCCCCCCTCCCCCAGTCTACTGAATGGACTGTTCCTGATGTCATCACACCCATAGACCGGTGACTGATCCCTGCCGCTACTGCCCCCCCCCTCCCCAGTCTACTGAATGGACTGTTCCTGATGTCATCACACCCATAGACCTGTGACTGATCCCTGCCGCTCCTGCCCCCCCCTCCCCCAGTCTAGTGAATGGACTGTTCCAGATGTCATCACGCCCATATACCAGTGACTGATCCCTGCTGATCCTGCCCCCCCTCCCCCAGTCTAATGAATGGACTGTTCCAGATGTCATCACGCCCACAGACCGGCTCTGGACATGAAGATGGTAGGAACAGTCCACCGCTGGATATGGGGAGGGCACATTTCCGGGAGGACTGAAAGATCAGGTAAGTACAGCCTTTCAGTGCATCCCTAGACAAGACGAGCCGTTCCCCCATGCAGTGCAGGCACAGCCCCACTGCATGGGATTTTTTTTTGTTTGTCGTGGAGTTCTGCTTTAAATCATGGAGGCTCAGCGTCACATGTGTGCATGACCTAGGGTGGTCTTAATGCAGCCTGCCTAGGAACGCCCACTCCTCCAGACTGACACCCACCCATCAAGGCATTTCGATATTTGCACAACTTCTCCCACTGCTTGCCTAAGGACTGAGGGCTCTCAACAGGAAGCAGGGTGATAGGACGTTTGCAGGAAGCTATGTACAGCCCCTCCCTCCAGCCATGATCTGCCTGCACTGCATAGAGAAGTACGGAGACCCAGTGATATATTACCTGGTCGCAAATAAAGTAAGTTAAAATATGTCATTAGCATATCGATGAGGGGGCAGGGAGGAGCCAGGAAGAGGAAAATATAGGCAGATTACAATTCAGTTTTAAAGTTTTGGATGGAGTGAGGTTAGCAGCAGGGGCGGACTGACAACTCATGGGGCCCCCGGGCAATAAGGGATCATTCAAGGGCCCCTGTGTCCTTGCCCAAACACAAAAAAGCCTATGAAAAAGGTACCAGGGGCATCTCATGGGGCCCCCTACTGACCCCCGGGCCCTCGAGCAGTGCCCGAGTTTCCAAAATGGTCAGTCTGCCCCTGGTTAGCAGGTATAACCAACAACTTTCCACCCCACCCCCACCCATTTTCCAGTGACTCATTACCTGTCCTAGTGGAGGGAAACACCCCACAGGATCAGATACTAAAAACTCAGTATTCATCTGACACAGAGACCGGCAAGAGTGGGAGTCATTTTTACTTTTCAGCACCGAGTTGTCATCACCATTTAAGCCGAGAGTCATCTCTCCTGTATGATCTCCCTATTGACAGGAGCCTCGTCATTAGTGACATTCCATAAACTGGTCTCTACTTCTAGTAATCATTACACATTACAAGAGGGATAACCCAGCACAGAGCCGCACGCAATAAAAAAGAAAATGCCGGCAGCCGCAGTTCAGCTACAGACCCCTACCTCCTTATGGATATTCTGGTAACTAAACCACCGAGATATCTTGTCTTTAAATATCCCCAATACTCCGTAACTCGTCCCCCATAGATAATACGACCTGCCCCCGCTACCCTCTAGATCCCCACCTCCAGGTGAGTTACACACCAATCAACCAATAGTAGCCGATCTATAGTATATTAAACAAAGAGCAGCTTAATCTAAAACCCCGAGTCAGTACTCTTGGTAATTGGACCCCTCTAGCAATCAGCCCCGACGTGGAGAAACAAGGGAGAGTACCAAGGACCAATCGGTGCGCAAGCTGACAGAAGGAGAGAGCAAGTGATGTCTCAGTTCTGTCCACTGCACAGTTTTTTGTATGAATATTTATTTATATACATTTTATATACAAACCGTGGCTTCTTTAGCCCATATCTTCTTGGGAAAATGTGGACCGCCTTACCTAGCAATTCTGTAATGTTGTGACACCGGTTTCATTTTTTTCATTTATAATTTTTTCCAGAAAGCCATAGATTTTTTCCATTATTTCCGATTATGTTATCCCTTTATTATTCCACGTCGCTTTACTTTTACTTTTCCTCCTTTCCTCTCGTGTGAGATGCCTGTTTTTGTGATACAATGGTTTTATAATGTTTTTGTATACAATTAATTCCAGTCAGGGCCGTATCCTCAGGATCCTCAGGATTCAGGAGTGCTGATTAAGGATGGGCGTTCTCGCTATTAACCCACTCGTTCCACGTCCAGTCCAGGACGCTTTCCTCCCCCCCCCCTTCCAGTCCGGACAAACGCTTTCCCCCACCCCCCTTCCACGTGCGGTTCCTGCCCCCTTCCCACCGGACACCCCCCACCCCGCCCTTCCAGTCCAGGACGCTCGGGATCCACGCCCCCCCCCCCCTTCCAGTCCGAGACCACTCGCCGCCCCCCCCCCATTTCCGGACGCTCCCCCCCCCTCCCCTTCCTGTCCGAAGACGCTCCCCCCACCCCTTCCAGTCCGGACGCTTTCCCCCCCCCCTTCCAGTCCCGGACGCCTTCCCCCCCCCACCTTCCAGTCCCGGAACGCTTCTCGCCCCCCCCCTTCCAGTCCGGAGCTTTCCGCTCCCCCCCCCCTTCCCAGTCCAGACGGCTCGGTCCCAAATCCCCCTTTGCCCTTACCCCCCCCGCCCCCTTCCAGTCCGGACACTTTCCATTCCCCCCCCTTCCCATCCGGCACACATTGTCCCCACCCCTTCCAGACCGGACCACTTCCCTGGCCCCGCCCCCCTCTCCAGTCCGGACACATTCCCCGCCCCCCTCCCCCCCTTCAGTCCGGACACCTTTCCCACGCCCCTTGTTCCACTGTCCGACACTTTCCCCCCCCCTTCCTGTCCGACCATTCCCCCCCCATTCCTGTCCGACACTTTCCCCCCCCCCCTTCCTGTCCACGGACAGCTTTCCCACCCCCCTTCCTGACCACATTCCTCCCCCCCGCCTATCCCATCTGGACACTCCCCCCCCCCCCTTCCTGTCCCGACACCCCCCCCCCCTTCCTGTCCGCATAACACGTTCCGCACCCAATCGCACGTCCCCCCCCCCCCCTTCCTGTCCGGACACTTTTCCCCCCCCCCCCCCGGTCCGAAACTTTCCCTGGACACTTTCACCCCCCCCCCCTGTCCCGCCATCCGACACTTTCCCCCCCTGTTTCCTGCCCAGGCCAATTTTCCTGTCAGCTTACTCAGAGCCAGAATCACCCTGTTGAATGACAGTTGCGCGGGTCTGCAACAC